TATCTTGAGTGATGTCCCTTACATGTTGTTATCTATATATAGTTGTCTCTGGCCACTTCCTTCCTCTCTTTGCATCATGGCTGTCTGTAAATAAAAGGCTGTTAACACCAATGTGGCTCCTCGTCAATCTATTACAGTTACAACCCCCCATCCCCCCATGGACCGCTCTGTAAAAAAAATATTGTCATAATACCACTGCTACTTATTTAAATCTATTTCTGTAATATATATTTGTGTAATATATATGTATGTTTAGAACAGTCATCTTAAAACTGACGCTATGTTCACTCTGAGTTGGTTATCTTGGTTTGTGCTTGGATTCTCATCCCGTAATCATCCAATGGTCTACTAGACTATGGAGCTATATATATATTTATAATCATACAAATATTACAAGCCTTTAGCTTCTTGCTATATAAATATAGGTTATTAAATTGAAATTTAACAAATCAAATACCAATGATTGAATTTATTTATTTCACAACGTGTAGGTCTACAAACAAATAACATTCCATGAGGTAACATTGTCATGTGAAAATCATTATAATTTAATGAATGTAACATTTTCTGTAATAAACCTATTGTAAGGTGTTTTTTTTAGTTTAGATTTGAAACCTAGTTAAAAAAAGGTATTGATCTTTGCTTAATAAAAATGACGGTTAACAATAAATAGTAAACCATCCGGCAATGTGAATAGATAATACATTTATATGCAGAAAATTTACAGTTTGTAAAAGGCAATACTAAATCAGAAAGTAAAATCAATTATAACTAAAGAAATGTTCCTGCTTTTTTCTGCATAACAGAGGTCTTTTATGTTTTTTTAATGGAGGCGATTTAGTTTATTGTTTAGCAGGAACTTATTGATTAAAAAATCCATCATGTAGCACTCAATAAAAAATAAACTTACTACAAATGTTTGTATATTATTGACGTGCCATAATATTATAACACGATCACATGCTGTGCATTTGTTTCTTGTGTTTGTTTAAGTTACCAAGCTTATAGCACCTGTACTCACATTGACCACAACAGTATGGCTTCTCCCCTGTGTGAGTTATTAAATGCCTAGTTAAAGAAGATTTGCCAACAGCTGCGTAGTCACAGGTATCACATTTAAAAGGTTTTGTGCTGGAGTGTTGTCTTTTCTTATGTTGTGCGAAACTGCTGCTTGTATTCGATGTGAAGTCACACTTGTCGCATGTGTAATAGAATTCTCCAGTATGTATCCTCATGTGAACTTTAAGACACTTTCTCATTGTATATGATTTCTCACATATTTCACAGTGGAACGGTCTGAATTTAAAATGTGTTCTTATGTGCATATCGTAATCAATGTCATTGGTGTGTACTAATTGATTCATGGACAAGTGTGCTGTTGATTTAAACACATAATGACATACATCACAAAATTCTGATCCATTTCGGTTTGTTGCTTCAGAGGTTTTTGTGATTAAATGAGTTCTGCAATGGGCTGCAAACATCGTATCTGAAGTTGATTTGAAATCACAAAGATCACATGTATACATCTGACGAGAATTATGTGTTCTCATGTGTTTGTTAAGACCATCCCTGCTTGTAAAATATTTTTCACATTTGACACTGCAGAAAATCCTATTACAGTTGCTACAAATGTAACATTGCATTGGCGTGTGCACTACTTGATGAGATGACAAATGGGCCGATGAAAAACACACATTTTGGCAAACATCACAAACAAATTTCTGAACTGCAGGTTTATTGGTTCTTTGTTTTGATAATTTTACAACCGGTTCAGCTGTCAATTCAGGCTGGACTAAATTTTCTTTTTCCTCTAGAATCGAACGACGTAGTTCTGAAGATGAGACAGATTCTCCTGAGGATAAGTGCATTTTGATGTGATGTTTTTTTTTAATTTTTCGCCACTTCCTACTTGTGTAAGCGCAATATTCACATCCCAACCTATCCTCAGCGTGGAAGTTATTCTTATGCTTAGAAAACAAAAAATCCTCCTGAGTAACATATTGACAGAAACAACACTGTAGTGTTTCAACATCAGGGTGCTTTTTTCTCCAGTGTTTAGATAATTTCTTTATAGAAGAAAATTCTAAAGAGCAAATCTCACAATGATGAATATCTGCCATTGTCGTACTGTATTTTTTGCAGTGGGGACTTTTAAAAAATGATGCGTTCTTTAACTGAAAAAAATAATGGGAATGATCAGTTATTCAAACACTTGTATTTATATCTTTTTCTTGAGCCATCCAGTAAAAATTTTTGGAATTTTTTATTTAATCTTTCTGTTGTTTAAAGTTACTGATTAATTTAAAAAAAAAAAAAAGAAAACTCTGATAATTAAAAAAGCCCTAATAATTTAAGGCTTAGGCCTATTTATGATTTACTTAGAACATGGGCCTACGTAGGCTACTAAGTAGTTTTTATAGGCTAATGATTAATAGTGTTAAATAAATTAATGCATTTTTATTTGTAGGTTCTAGACTACTAGTTTATGAGAATGTAATCAACATTATAGAAAAATACTAAATAATAAGTTTAGGCCTAGGCTAGTTATTTTAATTTTACCAGACTATTTTTGTTAATGGACACAACCGAGAAGAGATTGAAATTATTTGAAAGGCCCATTAAATATTTTTAAAAATCATATACTATATTTTTAAAATAAATATGGTGAGTGTTAGGCCTATAAAATTTTTGATGGTTTGATTTCAGTTGGTCTTTACTAAAGATTAGATGTAGGCCTATTTGATTTTAGTATTTTTAGTCACTTAACAAAATTAAAAAAAAAAGCCCAAAACTATTTGTTCATTAATTTACAATTAGATCTAGTCTAGATCTATATTTTTATCACAGAAAATATAAACAAAAAATACAATAGCAGATCTATATGTGGTATACTTAATAGGCCTACTAGCTGAAATTTTTCTTTTAATTTAAAAACCTTATCTGCAAAGTTTAGAGAACAAATTAACTATGAAGTCTGAAGTGACTACTATTACTATGGAGACTACTCAAAAATGTATTTTATGGTATGAATATAAAATTTATTCTAAAAATATTAAATCTCTGAATAATTTCAGGCTTGAGTTGCACACACCCCCCCCCCCCCACGTACATAAATGAAACAAGGAAACATTTTGGATTTTAAAAACACATAAATCCTCCTCAAAATGTGAAATAATTATTAAAATTTAAGGAGTCACCTGTTTTTCACATTACAAGTCGCGGACGATTTTACGTACCTAAAACGATAGATTACCGAGTGTGACTCAGTGTAGTATAAGTAGTGTAGTTAATGTAGTAGTAGTAGTAGTACTGACTTAGTGGGGTAAAAATGATAAAATTATGCCGATGGCTGAGAAAGTTGGATGAGATCTCATAATATATTAATCAATAATAGTCATCATCTAACTCTTCTCGGTAAAACCTTAGTTTAGCATCATAATTTCCAAAGTAGCTACTAGCTAGTAATGTGCGATGGAGGTAACTAATGAATATTTCTTTCATTTGGCCATATTTATGACATATTTTACATAATATAACAGATAATTGAATAACAAATCACAATCTATGACCAAACCAGCCAAAAATATCCTGGAATAAACTTTAAACTACCCCCGTTCGAGACAACAATGAGTAAATACAAGCAGTGGCCATGTTTCAAAAACAATAATAGAGTCGTTTCCCTTGAAAAATTTTCTATTCACATGTCTGTTGTGATGATTTTGTTGTTTAATACGGGTATTTTGTATTGTTTTAATATATGCCTGTATAGTAATTTTTCTTTATTTTTTCAATATAGTTGACATGAATGACTAATAGACCTTTTCATACTTAATAGTGTGCATCCAAGACCACAACAATTGTTGTGAGGTCGAACTTTCTAGAATCTTGGGTATTCTTGAGGCTGACTCTCTGGAGTTGTGGCTTTCACTTTTGATTGGATAGATTCCGATAGATGTTCACATTTTGGCAGTTATTTATTATATTCATATTGTCTATCAGCTGGACAAAAAAAAAACCAGGTTCCTGAATAATTTAAGTTCCTTCAAATATTGTTACTGTTCTGTGGGTGGCTAGTTTTTAAAATAAACTTAGGGACTAGCAATATAAAATACATAGAGAAGACCAGTGCTAGGCTAGGGCATCATCATGGCGGATGTAAACATCATGTGGTTTTAGTCATGTGTGTGCAACCTCTCCATTAGTTTGATCAAGAAAATTGTATACATTCCATAGTGTAGGTCTTGATAAGTAAATTTATAAAATCTAGATCTAAGTCAAATTTGAATGAATAAGTTCATTTCTTTATATTCTAAAACTGGAAGAGGACACCATTGGTGTTGTGTTCATTCCGTAGTTTAAAATAGCTAAGCCAGTTTAGTAGAGTAACAGTGTCGTCCCCTAGCCTTCCTTGCACTACCTGTAAACAAATTAATAAATCCATATACACAAAACTTTTATGCATGCACATATATTAGTTCCCAGCCATACAAATAAAATAGCATTGAAAGTTTTTACAATTGTTGCAAGAAATTACAAGTCCTATTGTGTACAAATATTGTCACATAACTACAAAAAGTGCAAATTAGTGCCAAGCTGTCTAGAGAAATCAAGTGTTTATTAAGCTGTTTATGACAGTTTAGAACTGTAATTAAAATTAATTTTAACACTTTTATTACATATTTGGATAAGATTAAGCACTTATTACTTACATTTGAAACTAACAAAAGCAAATCAAGTTTTGATTTTTGTCAATAATATCTTAGTATTTCTATTTTTAACAATAATTTTTAAGGACTTGTTGCTTCAGATATTAATCTGCAGTCCTGATTACTTTGCATTACTGGTTGTCTATTTTTAAATTACATCTGACTGAGTAATCATTAGTAATCAGACTGACAAAAGTCTGGCATGTGTTACAAATTTTGCCATGTTATTAGTAATATGTTGTTTTGGTTATTTAATCACCAGTTTAACATTTACATTTTTTAAATCATCAGTTCATATCTAAGAAGCTGTCCAGCATGGAGGTGGAAACAGATGTGTTAGCAGCAGTTTCATCTACTGTAGATATACAGTCAAATGAATTAACAGAGGTTTCATCTTCTGAAGATTTGAAACCAGATCTATCAACCATATTTTCATCTTCCGCTGACATCAAATCAGAATTATTGACATTTATTAATTTCCAGGATATAAAACCTAACATGTCATTTAAAACTTGTCAAGATGTTAAACCTGATGTTAATTCAGAATTTTCTTCTTCTAATGACATAAAACCAGAATTATCATTTTTTAATGTTCAGGATATAAAACCTAACATGTCATTTAAAACTTATCAAGATGTTAAACCTGATAATACATTTTCAATTGAAAAAATTTATAAGAAACCTGCTGCATCAGCAGAATTATCATCTTCTGAAAATTTAAAACAAGATTTCACAACAGAATTTTTATTTTTTGAGAATAAACAAGAAAATGGACTTGAAGAAAATCTACAATTGTCTGGGGACAACGGAAATAAAATTGTTTATTTTCATGAAACATTTTCTCAAAGTTCTGAAAGTAATATGCATAACAATGTTCATTCTGAAGATAAGCCATATAAGTGTGATGTCTGTCTTAAAAGGTTTTCTCAAAGTTTTCATTTAAGAGAACATAAAAATGTTCATTCTGAAGATAAACCATATAAGTGTGAGGTCTGTCTAATTTAGGTTTTCTCAAAGTTCTCAGTTAAGAGCACATAAAAGGATTCATTCAGGAGATAAACCACATGAATGTGATGTTTGTCATAAAAGGTTTTCTAGAAATTGTGAATTAAAAATACATAAAAATGTTCATTCTGGAGATAAGCCATATGAATGCGATGTTTGTCATAAAAAGTTTGGTCAGAAGATTACTTTATTACGTCACAAAAATGTTCATACAGGAGATAAGCCATATGAATGTGATGTTTGTCATCACAAGTTTTCTCAAAGGTCTAACTTAAGTACACATAAAAAGAAGCATTCAGGAGAAAATGCATATAATTCTGGAGATAAGCCATATGAATGTGATGTTTGTCATAAAAGGTTTTCTCAAAGTTCTGGTTTAAGTTATCACAAATATGTTCATTCTGGAGATAAGCCATATGAATGTGATGTTTGTCATAAAAGGTTTACTAGGAGATCTAACTTAGGTAAACATAAAAAGATTCATTCAGGAGAAAGGCCACATGAATGTGGTGTTTGTCATAAAACCTTTGTGGAGGAGAAAGATCTATTACAACATAGAATTATTCATTCAGGAGATAAACCACATGAATGTGATGTTTGCCATAAAAGGTTTTCTGATAGTTCTCAATTTAGAAGACATAAAAAGATTCATTCTGGAGATAAGCCATATGAATGTGATGTTTGTCTTAAAAGGTTTTCTTCAAGTTCTGATTTAAAAAAACATAAAAATGTTCATTCTGGAGATAAGCCATATGACTGTGATGTTTGTCATAAAAGGTTTTCTAGAAATTTTGATTTAAAAATACATAAAAATGTTCATTCTCGAGATAAGCCATATGAATGTGATGTTTGTCATAAAAGGTTTTCTCATAGTTCTCATTTAAGTAGACATAAAAAGATTCATTCAGGAGAATTGGTGTATAATTGTGATGTTTGACATAAAAGGTTTACTCCGAGTTCTAACTTAGGTAAACATAAAAACATTCATTCAGGAGAAAAGGTGTATAATTGTGATGTATGACATAAAATCTTTGCAAATAAGAATAATCTATTACAGCATTAAAAAGTTCATTCATTAGAAAGGTCACATGAATGTGATGTTTGTCATAAAAAATTTGTGGATACATAAAAAGGTTCATTTAGGAGATTAACCACATGAATGTGATGTTTAATATAATATAATATTTTCTCAATATTCTAATTTAAGAACACTAAAAAAGATTCATTCAAATGAAAGGCCACATGATGAATGTGATGTTTGTCCTATAAAATTTGCTTGTAAGTGTGATTTATTAAGACAATTTTGTTCATTTGGGAAAAAATCCATATGAATTTGATGTTAATCCTAAATGATTTACTCAAAATAGTTTAACTACACATAAAAAACTTTTTTTGGCCATAAATGGTTTTTTCAACGTTCTCAATTAAGTGCACATGAAAAAGTTCATTTATGAGACAAGCTATATGAAAGTGGTATATGTCATTAAAGGTCTAGAAGTTGTAGTCTAAATGATGTTTTTCACAAACGATTTTCTCAAATTTAAATACTCTATAAAAATTCATTCTATAAGACAGAGGAATGTGATGTTTGTAAGGAAATATTTTCTTTTAAATTTACTTCATATAGTCAAAAAAATTCATCATGACTTAAAACCAATTTTGCTAAATGTTTTATTTTATTAAATTAAATGCATTTGTAACTTGTTATATAGATTTTATCTTTCTTTACACCTCAAGTCAATATGAACTTTATGCCTAATCTCAGACTCCTCTCTGCATACTATGTGATTGAAAAGATAATAAAATAAATTTCTTCACATAAGGCTTTACAATTTAAAGATTAACCACACATTTCAATGTCATAAATTAACATTAACTTTTTTTCCAAAAACAGCATAAAAATTATAAATTTGAAGAAAAGAAATACTAGAGCTGCAGTTGTTACATATTGGTATCTTAGTTTCAACGTAATGTAATTTTTGGCTAGTTATTATTTAATTTTTTATTCCTTACTATTACAAAAATAGCCTTGTAATCTAAATTCTAAAGTAGTGAATTATTACAAACGAGCCGGCCCGCGGCATAACATACGCCGCTATTTAGTTGTTTCTAATTTTCAATAATTCATAATTTGTGAATTCGACAGTACCAACGCTGACACTGAAAATATTTCTTTAAAACACTATAATAAGTAGCTCGTTAAGTTTATTTAACCACATGCCACTTACATTAATTTAACCTGCATTAAAATTCGAGACATAATTTTGTAAATACTATTAGTTTATTTAACAAAAGAGTCAATAGCTGGCCACATACAACATAAAAAATACAAACTCAACACCAACGCAATTAGAAATGAATCTCAACAATATTTTACTGCTGAGAAAAAAATTATGTCAAAATTTATAAACAAAATTAACAACTTTAAAAAATCCAACAGGTAATAAAAATTAAAAGAAACAGAAATAGGCCTATATTTCAGATGAGACAGAATTAACTATTTGATTGAAATTTAAAACCAAGTTAATGTACATTTTAAAAACAGAAAATTTAAAAAAAAAATGTGTGTAATTATTAGCTATTTAAAAACAAAGAGGAGAATTTGGTTAAGATAGTGTTAAAACACTGCTGATTGTGACATCACCTCTACTGATGGACAAAGCCCAGTACAAAATATTAAGACCTTTATTATGCAAAATATTAATACTTTTTAAAAATAAAATTGATAGAACTTGTGGTACTTTAAATAATGTATGAAATTTACATTAACTAAAATAAAATAACTAAAAGAATATTAAATTTAAATATACCGGGAATGATCTCCCCTAACCTTTCTCGAATAATCTTCTATAAAACAAGCGTTTATATAATTTTGCAATAATCTATTAAAAAAATATATATTCTTCTATAACACTACGTTGACACGGGAAAGAGAAATGATTTTTAATCCATTTTTAATTTTTCAACTGTATAAGTAGAATACAAAAAAAGAATCGCGCACCAAGTGAACGCCAAATAAAGATGTTCATAATAGTACGCAATATTATTAGTACTTTATAAATTTACATGTGTTTTTTGAGAAATCGGAAATAGCGTAAATTAGTACTTCCGGTCAACGGAAATCACTCAAAATTTGAAAAAAGGTAGAGAATTAGATCTTTTACTTACATGTGAAAGTTCATTTATCTATCTGAAATAGTACTCAAGTTATAGGCTTTTGAAAAATTCAAAGTAGAAAATGTACCACTTCCAGTTATCGGAAATCGCTCAAAAGTTGATACGGATCTACGATTTTGATAAAAAACTTATATATGAAATTTCATCAACCTAGCTATAACGAAAATTGTTGACCCCCCCCCCCCCTCGAAAATCCCCCTCCCCCCTCCCTGGAAGAAACACTGCATGTAGACTATATAACAGAAGAGCTAAGGTTGTTTATATCATTTTGCATTCGTCAGGTACACATTTCAGTAAAAAACCTTAAAAAACCTTCCATAACCTTTTTATAAAGAAACAAAGAGAGATGAAGTTTTATAATAACATCAGGCTTTGACTTACACCTACTCCAATGGCATCTACATTGTTAAACTGATTAACTATGTAATGTAGGGCTCAACACTATCAATGAACTAACCTTACGCCAAACAAGTTTGAAATTTCGAGCTAGCAAAATGGAAATATGCATAATCTATATCATCTACACAAACACCCAACCACCTACCTAACTACCCACCCACACATCTACCCATAACGACCTGACAACCTACACACCCATTTACCCACCTACCCATATATATATATATATATATATATATATATATATATATATATATATATATATATATATATATATATATATATATATATATATATATATGTATATATATGTATATATATATATATATATATGTATATATGTATATATATGTATATATGTATATATGTATATATGTATATATATATATATATGTATATATATATATATGTATATATATATATATATATATATATATATATATATATATATATATATATATATATATATATATATATATATATACATATATATATATATATATATATACATATATATATATATATATATATATATATATATATATATATATATATATATATATATATATATATATATATATATATATATATATGTGTGTGTGTGTGTGTGTGTGTGTGTGTATGTTATAACTGGGTCTATGTGTCCCGCAACTATGAAGTGAGAGGGTCTACACTACCATTATATTCTGTCTAGCCATTCAGTAGTTCATCCCAAAGCACGACGACATCAAGGTATACAAATGATTCGACAGGATGACATTATTTTTACTATTTATTGCATTACAAAGGACGACTTGAACGAACAATACTAAGACTGGACTATATTACGACATCACTATAACACAACAAGAACAAGTGTACTTTTTAACTTCTTTCCCCGACAACAACGAACCTACACTAAAACGTCAAATTCTTGCGAACCGCGTAACTATTCAATGCGTCATTAACTTTCGCACCAATTCGTTTCACAATTTCACACCAATCCTCCTTGTTTAAACATACATCAAAACTATATATATATATGAGGTAATTAGATAGGCGGGTAGGCAGGTAGGTAGGTAGGCAGGCAGGTAGCAGGCAGGCAGGTAGGTAGGTTGGCAGGTAGGCAGGTAGGTAGGTAGATAAGTAGGTTGGGAGGAAGGTAGGGAGGGAGGCAGGCAGACAGGCAGGCAGATAGGTAGGCAGGCAGGTAGGTAGGTAGGCAGGTAGGTAGACAGGTAGGTAGGTAGGTATGTAGGTAGGTAGGTAGGTTGCTATGTAGGTAAGTGCTTCATAATGAAATAATAGTAAATACATCATTGTTATGATGTGTGTTTTATCAGGTATTTTGGTGCGAATGAATGTTGTTGCGAGAAATATGACGAATACATGTTTGATGACGCGGATGAAAGAGCGTGAAGTTTTGCCATAGGAACGGGTTCTTATGGTATGCAAGCTAGGTAGTTCGGACTTGGGAGAATGTGAGAGATACTTCGTGTAATGTCGATAGTTTTATGTTTATTTATACGAGAATAGTAGTTGAATAATTGTTGACCAAGAAAATAATAAGCATTGTGTAGAGTGATTATCGCCTGTATCGTGGTGATGGGAATGCACATGGTAGTGGTATGCTTTAAATGGTAGTAGATCACGTGATCAAACACGACACTCTCACAGCAGCCCTAACAGTCATGTATAAATGTGTCATCTAGTCCATATGGTCTTTGTGCTGCTAAAATTCTCTTTTGCACATTTTTCGTTGTGTTTTTCTGTTTGCGCTTTTTTCCGTTTGCGCTTTTTTTCCGTTTTCGCTTTTTTCTGTGTGCGCTTTTTTCTGTTTGCGCTTTTTTCTATGTGCATTTTTTTCTCTTTGCGCTTTTTTCCGTGTGCGCTTTTTTCCGTTGCGCTTTTTGTTTTGCGCTTTTTTCCGTTGCGCTTTTTTTCCGTTACGCTTCTTTCTGGGAACCAAATAAACATTAGATATATAGTGGTAGCTCTATTATAATGCAGCGTTTTTGTTCAAACTTTTTAGACACGTTACCATTCGCTGACCATACAAGTCTGTCGACGTGGTCGAGTCGGTTAAGCTCATGGTTGCTAAACCGAAAAGTTCTCGAATTCGAACCCTCGGGTAGATGAGGCTCGTTAGCTGTGGACAGCCACTCTTCTAGATAGATATGTCTATTAAGGCTGGGAACAAATAAAACTTTACTCATATAAATTACGCTCAATAATATTGTAAAAATTGGTTTTCAAAAAGAAAAGTATTTTGGTTGTCATGGTTACGTCCGCCATATTGTTTTTTCTTTCATCATTTTCAAAATGCTAAAGCTCAGCAACCCCTAGCGGTGAACACACAAAAATAAAAGCATTTGTAGAAAAAATCTGAGCTTGAAACTTTCTATAAGTACTTTTTAAGGAAACGGTTTAATGATTTACATTTTTCATTTTTAAATCATAGAATGTTAACAAAAAAATTAAATCTGTCAAGTTCAATACATCTCAGTCCAGAAAATCTAAAGGAAAAAATGTTTAAATAATGCTTCATAGAAGTTGTTTATATTTGTTAGAAGAATCATCGGGTCAAGTTTAATTACAATACATGCAGAACTATCCGAGGAGTAGTAATTTGAAGAGTGAAATTTGATATTTTGAGAAAAATGCAAAAAGTATATACATTTTACATTTACAACCTAACAAATAGGCCTACTCATAACATTTGG